CCTCCAGAAATAGACTATTTTAGCCCACGACGGACCGGAGTATTTGAACACCCGCCTGCGGTTTTTCGCAAATATCTTCAAAACGGCGGCGCGGAGCGCCGCCGTTTTTGCACACCTGCAGTGCTCAGGCATCTTTTGTGCACATGTTGTGAAAATTTCAGACCCAGGGCTCTCAAGGTCGGGTCACCAGGTCGCCTCAAGTGACCTCACCTCCGAAAAAGTTTCAATCCTCGTCAATCGTCATAGCTACAACGACTGAATGATCGCCTTGAACCTTTCAGCGATTAATAAGGGTTACATTATGTACAAAATGTTTATCGCGGAATTTCTATATCAGTGACATAAGGTCAGGTCAATTTTGCGACCTCTCCATTAGGTTATATATAAGTCAATGGGAGAAAATTGAAATGCGCCTCTTTTGGATGGTGGTGTTCAAAACCCTCTCAAACATCGGTTCATGGGTAAGCACCACACCCTGAATCGGAAAAATGTATCTGTGAACCCTCTGTGTGCCCCTGAGGTCATGTCAGGTCATGAACGGTCGGCAACAGCTTTTAGGCAATAACTTTTGATAGAGACGTGCTAGAGCGATGAAAACACGTCAGATGTATTCAGCTCGACGATACGGATCGATTGATATGCAACATGGCCCTTTCCGGTCAGGTCATGACCTTGGCCTGAGGTCAAAATTTTAAAATGACCTTTCAATGTCAACGAATAGCTTATTCGACGCGTCTCGATGAGAGGAACACGATGCTGGCAAAAGTAATGTCGTGGTTTGCTTAGATCAATAATTATTACCGAAAAAAACATTTTTTTCGTGAAAACGGCTATTTTTATAGATTTTGCCCTCTGGAGGCTAAACCGTTGACCTCAGCCCTCAGGTCAAATCTGAGAACGTTATTCAGAAAGGTCTGTAAACGGGCTTTCAAATGCGCTTTTCTGTGGCGCTGCAGCTCTATTGGTTCCCGAGTTAGCCGTTGGCAGTTTCCAAAACTATTGAAATGGACCACCTTTGACCTCCTATGACCTCTGGCGACCTGACCTTTGACCTGACCCAAAAAATGACTGAAGTGCTTCCGACCTTAATTTTGACGCTCTTTCGAATGCCGCTGACTGCGTGTCGCTACGTGGTCCAGGAGCCGAGTTAGTCGAAGGGGGGGGGGGGCGTTCAGACACCCCCGGCCCGGCGGGGAAGTCGCGGCGCGGGTTAGTTTTTCACCTAGCAATTTTTGTAAGGACTGACGGAATCTCAACGTTTTGATTTTTGACCGTACCTACTTGATGTCATCAATACGTCACTATGGTCATCAGGATTTTCGTCAATAATTAGGTATCGATTAGATTGAGCTTGGTAAGCGACCTGGAATCAAAAAGATCCTGAATCGAATGCCATCCTTTGAACAGCCGGTCCCGTAGCTCAGTTGGCAGAGCGTTGGCCTCCGCGTGGTGAGAGCACCTGTTCCCGGTTATAACAGTCAAATAACAGTCTGGGTTCGAAGCGCGACGGGCGCTTGCCATTTATGGCCTCCTGACAGGTATGGTGCGGTTGGTGGCAAGCCGTCCCCAGGCGAAGTCAGTGAGGGGACCGGCCGTGCGCGGCTATGTGTGCAGTGCGCACGTTAAACTTTGGACTCTAAATTCTGCCATAGAACTGGTTTGCGCGATCGGAGGGTTGAGGGCAGGGTTACCGCAACAAGCTTCGCTTAGCGTTGGCCCTGTCTTTGTGAATCCTTCCTATCATAATTATGATAGGTTCTCATGATAGGTTATCATAATTATGATTCCTATCATAATTATGATGATTATGATAGATTCCTATCATAATTAAGGTTCGGATTAAATTTATAAAAAAATAGTTCGTGACCTGAGAGGCCGTGAGCTGACCTTGACCTGAAGGCAACAACTTTAGTTAACCTTTTCCAGATAAAAATAGGTACATCATCGACGTGACTAATCATGACTCACACGATGCTGCCGACATCACGGATCTGCGACTATAGTTGGCGGAACTGTTCAGTGCATGGGCGTAACCACCGCGCTGGAACGCTGGAAATTCCAGCCCATTTTTGGGATGCTGAAATGCCGCCCCTGGTAGAGGAAGTCTGCAATTGGGGGGTTTAGTTTAGGGACTTCAAGACGAAACAAAAGAAACGGCACTGCTCGGTCCACTATACGCCTGACCTCAACGTGCCGTTCCTCACTAAAATACCTAACCTCTATACATGCCGCCCCTCCCAGATGCCCTGCCGCCCCTTCGCACCGACTCTCCTTCAATTTCCTCGGAGATCTCTGTGACGCCCCTTACAGAACCCCACCGTCCTCAATGTGCCGCCCTTCCGCATAATGCTCTATCGCCGTCTGTGCCACCCTCCCCAGATGACTTGCCGCCCCTTCCCAGAGTACCTCGGCGCTCTCTATGTGCTGCCCTCGCCACAACTTCCCGCCGCCCTCAATAAGCCGCCCCTCCCCACAATGCTCTATCTAGCAGTCGGCGCCGCCCTCCCAAGGCACCTTGCTGCACCGCTTCGTGGCGCCCCTCCCCAGACACCTTTCTGCTCTTACACGCCTCCCTTTCCCAGAACGTTTTATGATCCGTCCCTCCCTATATAACGCTGTATTATTTCGCGTACGTACCTATCTATTATCCAGGGGCGTAGACAGGGGGGGGGGGGGGCACTGGACCATGCCCAGCACCATTTGCGATTGAAGGCGCCGAAGGCGCCCTCCAATCGCGAATATGTTTACAGGGAAAATGCGGTTGGAGGGCGCCCTCCGGCGCCCTCAACCGCTTTGTAGGCTGTAGCGCTCTAGTCGTAGTGGTAGTCGCCAATTTAAGCCTGTTGATCGCAGCCGTCCTACCTACTGGCGCCCTCATTTTGATCGGAATACCCCTACCTATTGGCCTACCTGACCTTCCGGTGACCTTGACACCCACTCTTATGCATGGAAGCACCATCATATCCCATGTCTGAACGCATGAAACCACGAAAGACCGCAAACGCGCGGCTTATGCGAGCCGACATACGCCGAATCGCAATTCCTGCCAAACATGGTGTCGAAAAGTGGGTCAAAGGTCATTAGGGTCAGGGTCATGAAATTTTCAGGGCAGGTGTAAACTTCATTAACGCGAGGGTACTGAAAGTTTCGTCGCGATCGGCCGCTTTTTACGCGAGTTATCCGCGAAAAACCGAGGGGTGGTCCGTTCGACCCCCCCCCCCCGATGCGGGCGAGGTTAATACACAAACACAACGGCCCTCAAACACTCACCTCTGGCTCCCAAAATATGAGTGCCGCCCTTCCCTTCGCATTTGATGCCGCCCCCGGAGGGAGTTATTTCCAGCCCATTTTTTAAGGAGTGATTACGCCCCTGGTTCAGTGCATAGGTATAGTTGGCGGAACTGTTCAGTGCATAGGTATACCTATGCCCTAAATACCTACCTATAGGTAGGTATTTAGGGCCTTGGGTAGCCCCAGGGTAGGTATACCTAAGTTTTAGGTTATAGTGAACCGTACATTTAGGACTGCGGAGTCGGAGTCAGAGTCGGTCGGAGTCGACAGTTCTGACAGGATTCAGAGTCTAACTTGGAGTCGATCTTGAAAGCCGGAGTCGAAGTCGGAATCGGGAGTAGAAGTCATCAAAAATACCTCGACTCCGCAGACCTGCCGGGGCTGCGAAGCTGGACTCGGAGTCGGTCGGAGTCGACAGCTTTGTCCAGGGTCGGAGTCGGATACCTGCGGAGCTGATTTTTGGAGCCCGATGCTGGATTACAATTTACAAGTTGGAGACGGATTCATCGAAAATCCATCGACTCCGCAGCTATGCATAAATAGACTGCGTACATAAATGCTGTTCGTTTTTCATTGTTTGTATTTTCACTCGGGTATTAAAATTACTAATTGAAACTGAGACAAATACTGCGCAATTGTTTCATTTTTAATATTTTATGTCCTATGCACTGAACTTGAACTCTATAATGGTCCTATGTAAACAAAACTAGCACGTGTGTGTTTTTTGTATGTATTGATATGAGAATTTCAAGATAATTGTGTTTGGAAAGGCAAACCTGTAAAGATGATTTATTCAAACATTGGTGCTCCCAGGGTGCTCCCTTATCAAATATAAAATGGCAGCTCTAAGGTGTGCAATGTGTTGAACTTTTTTAATTATTATTTTATTATTAAATTATTGCATGTCTTATCCTGATATCGGTGCCTAGTCGTAAAGCATTCAATAATGGGGCCCTGACCTTCCAACACATCATCCCTCCGACCATCTATACCATCACAGAAAAGTGGAGCTATTACAATTAATGAAAGACACTAATTATACCTTCATTAATCATTTATGCCACCATCTTGCATCAAAGAAGCGTCAAACCAAGCATGCAATTGCTAGGTATCATTAAACCATTTAGCCTTAGCCCTTATGTCATTTGTCTTCCTTGTTTTGTAGTGGATAAAAGCGGATCTCGTAAGTCAGCACCAGCGTGTTTTCGTCCGCTGCGCGAGAGGTGGCGAGAGGTCACGCTAGACCCGGAAGGACCATATTGGCCAAAGTTTTGCCATCACCGTGTTCCTGCGATGCATCAAAACTTCCAATCAAAATTATCACTGGTTAAAGGGAATAGTTCACTTAAATGAAATTAATTTTTTGGTTGTATGATTTTTTATGCTCAAAATGATCAGCAAAGAAAATAAAACCTTTTTATAAAAAAATCAGTTTTTTAGATAGGAAGAACAATTCAGTTTTAAAAGAGGCAAATGACCCCTGCAAGGCACACATTCCTCAGCAAGGCACCTTTTTCGGGACGAGAAATGGAGTATCTTTGCCTAGGCTGATCGTTTGGCTGTAAAAGCTCCTGATTTGTGCTTGTCTCAGCTCAAGGTACGGAACTGCTATTCCAGTTCAAAACCCCATGTTAAAAGTGAACTAATTCATTTAAGTGAATTGGGCGCGTGCAAGACCGGGCGGTGTGTCCATGGTGACCTTTGGGCTCTCAGAACTGTCGTTTCCGATGAACTTTGACCCCACAGACTTGATTCAAAGTCATCGAAACATACATACGCACTTTACTCAGCTTATGGACCTGCTTGGAAGACTAATTAACATGCGAAAATCTTGCTCCGAAGTCGGAAGACAAAGCCCGTCCTCTGAAATGTGCATCACCACGGGCAGACCTTTGTTTATTATTTCAGTGACAACCGCCTGACGCAGCCACGTGCCTGGGTCGTTTTTCATGCACAATGTCTCCCTCGGAACTCGACCAATGAGTGGGGTCCGTCGGTCTGAAAAAAATGCCAGCCACACTGTGTCAGCTCTGACACTGATGTATCCCAGAGGTCGGACGGACCATCAAGGCCGCGCCTCTGTGTATACACGGCGCGGTCTCGTCTGGGTCAGTCCGGCGCGACCGGCGGTCTCCGACCTCACGAGCCGCTCCCTCCGTCGTCCGGCAGCGGGACGGTAGAGGAGGACGGTGGTGAGGAGGGGAGCGGCACCGATAGCCAGCCCTGATGCTGGTGGTGCGGGTGGTACCGGTCGGACGGTCCCGGCTGGTCAGTGCCGCGGTCCGGCGGCGGCCGATGTCGGCGCTGACCGGGTTCGCTCCCACCGCCTCCATCCTGACTACACCGGCACGCTGCAACAGCCAGCTCGCCGCCGACGCACACAGAAGACGGCACAAAAATGTAATCACCGGTGAGTGTGTGCGGAAAACGTCATGCCGTTTTTGGGTCGGGTGTTGTGCAATTCACCGCTTTACCGTGCTATATTTTGGTAAACTTATCTTTGCACATCATTACTCATGCGTCACATTTTTTTCAAATAATTTGTGCTTACGATCGTACGTTTGGAAAGGGCAACTGATATGATCCGTCACATCAGGACAAGTTTGGACGCGGACGTTGCAATTATTAACTCATTACGATCGTTCTAACTGTTATGACGGCCGTCTGTGCGCTGGCCAGGCCCGGACGCCGTCGCGCTGCGTCTCCACAGAGGGCACCTGGTGGTTCAGCACCCCCGCTGGCCGGTGGACGACGCCTTCTTCTCGCTGGCCTGGCTGCGGGACCACTGTCGATGTCGACACTGCTACGACGACTCCACATTCCAGAGAAAGGTCAGAGAAACGTAGGCCTACCTAATAATAGGTACGAAACCTGTCCTAACTCTTATTTGAGATTATTCAATGTATGTATGTATGGTGTATAAAAGGAACAATTTAAATGACAAGTTCGTGCGTAAAGGATAAGTGCATAAACGACGATGCGTGTGTTTGCTGACATTCCGGATTTTTGTGCTTTCGGTGGCATTTTTGCGAACGGTATTGTCCTGCTATGCTGTAAATGGAGAGCGCTTTTGCGTTTATGAAGACTAAATTACGAGTATCATTGCGGAAAACGAGATTTTAATGAAGAACCAGTCACATTGATAGGTATAAAAAAGTAATTCGTAGCATTGTGATAAAAAGAAGCGTGTTTGTTTCATGACATAAATGCGCAATTCACACAGTTGTGGTAAATTTGTTGAATGTGGATCGTGCCATGCTTTTTACCTTCGTTTTGCGTTTGTTTTACCAATTAAATGTTTCCAGACTGATGTGCGTCAGCTCTCATCCGTGGGCAATCCTCTGCAGTTCAACGTGAACTCGACGGGAACCGTGCTGGAGATCATATGTGAGTGATTTTTCTCAAACTGCCCTTACATGCTACTGTTTTCTTACGTCATCGGACGATGCAGCTTCAATTTACCCCTGCAATCCACATGCTGTTGTACATTTTTTTTTTTTGCGATTCCTTGGTTCTAGCATTTTTTATATGCTTCGTATTCGTCACTTCTCTGGTACTCAAAGCTTAATCAGGATGCCTCAAAAATTGAAAAGTAACGTAGCCTGAACAACTCTTATATGCTTGGATGTTTTTATGCAATTACACCACAATGACTTCAATCGTGTCGGAAAAATTTGTCTTGCGGTAACGCTTTTTAATGTGGACGATGCGTTTTGTGATCGGCTTAGCGGCTTTTTTTACTTTATCTGACCAGTGAGGCCTGTTCACAGGGCACGACGGCCACCAGTCCGAGTACAGTATGCGGTGGCTCTGGGAGAACAGCTATGTGGGCGCCAGGCACAGAGAGCAGCGCCAGAGCCGGCTCTGGCAGAGGTCAGTTGCGGTACGGGGCGGGGGCACCCAAGACACAAACATTTTCATGAATTTCGCCAGTCAACGTGCCAGAACGGGCTGTAGGAGACTGTGTCAAAATGGCTGTGCCATTTTAAGTTGGTCAGCACTTGGAATGAGCCAATACAGTTTCCCGGTAATATTTAGACGTCAACGAGAACTGAAAAGCCTAGTTTAAGGGCCGTAACTATCCCTGGTGACTGAGATCACTGGGGCAGTTTGTATCCAGTGACGTTGAGGTCACTGCGAGGTACGATCCATCCCTTACGTGTAAAATAAACTAAAAGTCATGTCAATTATGCCTTTCGAGTTGATTGTGATATGTCAGACTAATTTTGTTTGCCTGGCTGTGTGAGCTGACATGACCTGACCTCTATTTCCCGATGCCAGGTGCCTCTGGGACGGCCGACGGACCTCGGCGGAGGACCTGACCTCCGTGGTGTACGACTCCTTTATGAGCACCGAGGAGGGCGTCCGTAGGCTGATGAAGGGTTTCCTGACGCACGGCGCTGCTGTCGTCACTGGGGTGAGTTGAGTCTGCCGCCGCCGTCCACGGCTGCTCGAACGATGGTGATGTTTGTTTGTCGTTACACTGCCAGGTGACGGAAGCTAACCAGTTTCTGAGTGGCTTGATGGACAAGACGTCCGGGGAATCACTATTGTTATGTGGGCTTAATACAGGGCCTCGTCTAAGGAATTTTCACTGGGGGGGGGGGGGGGGGGGGCCAGAGCCTGAAGGAGCCAAACCTAGGGTACCCCTAAATCCTGTTTTCTCACCGGATTTAGACCACTTGTTTTTCATCACAGCCCTCAGGGCATATTTTAACAAATTTGTACTGCGTCCCAAAGTTGAGCAGAGGGCACGTGCTACGACTAAGGGCACAGGGCAAGGAACAGAGTAGGGCACTGAGGAGGGCAGAAAGTTGGGCACGGCAATTTGCAGGGCATGGCGATGGCACAGGATATTTTAGAGGGAAGGCCGGGTACAGATCAGGGCAGACAGCAGGGCACAGGTCAGGGAACCGGACAGGGCAGGGACGCAGTGGGTCAAATCAGCAGGGACTACGTCCCAAGGCGAGGGGGCTGCGTCCCAAAATGGGACGCAGTAAGTGACTTAGAATATGCCCTGCAGCCCTGACACCATGATTTTTTTTTTAACTAAAGGAAAAAATAATAGGGCATCCGACCCATGGTGTTGAGCGTTTTTGAGTGGCAGTGCCTTGTCTAAGGAATTTACATGCCGAGCCTTATGTCGGGGGCCCACACGCATAGACTGAGCGCTTGACTCTGCCGAGTTCTGAGGGCTAATACCAGCTTCTGGACCCACGCCGGCCTCTATGATAGCCCACACTGACTTTATATAATCCATACCAGGCTTTAAGGATCAAGCTGAGTGGAGACAGTATTTTCCCACTAGGGCCCCCTCAGACGAGTGTAATGCGTACGTATCAACTTGGAGACTGATGGCTTCTCAGTTGGATTCTCCGTAAGTCGTAATCGCCGTGGATCTCCGACACAACCTTAACCCGCGCCCCAGTGGCGGTCTCAGCCAACTTCGCCCTAGTGAGGGGGGGGGGGCATATGTTACCACCCACCTCTAACTCAAAAACTAAGAGGACTAGAAAGACGCGGTAAAAAGCAGTCGATAGCTCTCAATGCGTACGTTTGAAAGTATTTCAGTCATTTTTCATCTTGGAGCAATATTGGGGTCACTGGAGGTCATCAAAGGTCAAAATTTGCCAAATGTCATTATATTTTTCAGAAAACATGCTTATATCTCAGGAACTATGATAGCTAGAAAAACGCATGGAAAGCAATCGATAGCTTTTGAACTCTTTTTTCGATAAGGTCATTATCAAAATTGACCTCAGGTCAACGGTTTAGCCTCCAGAGGGCAAAAACTCCAAAAATAGCTGTTTTTTTCGCAAAGTGTTTTTCGACAATAACTTTTGAGTAGAAAAAGCCACGACATTTCTATTGCCAGAATCGTGTTCCTCTTGACGAGACGCGTCGAGTGAACTATAATTTGACCTTGAAAGATCAACTTGAAAATTTGACCTCAGGTCAAGGTCATGACCTGACCGGAAAAGGTCGTGTTGCATATCATTCGATGCGTCTCAACAAGACAAACACAATGAAGCCATCCCCAGCGTTCTATCTCTTTCCAATCGCGAGTTATTGGCAAAAATCTGTTTGTAGCCTCAAATGACCTCGGATGACCTTTGTAGAGGCTATCAGCAAAAATGACACCTTGGTCATCACGGGTGGTCCAAATCATTGTGATTCTGAAATATTTGGACTGTTCCCATGCGTACACACGTATCTGGAGGCATTTTCATTTTTCTCCATTGACTTATAATGGTAAGGTCACGCCACTGACCTGACCTTAGGTCACGGATATAAAAAATCCGAGATATACAAATTGTAGGCGCCCATAACATCATGCAATCCACCAAGTTTAAAACCTTTCTGACAAACACTGCAGGCTGGACATGATTGCAAACTTTTTTTTAGGCCTGGTCAGTTAACTTGACCTGGTGACCTGACCTGACATGACCTGGAGTCAAAAATTTCACACATTGTCCAAAATTGATGTACGAAAAGCTATTCCAAGCGGCGCGGCGCTACGCGCCGCGGTTTTTCATTTATACGCAAAAAACGCGACAGGGTGGTAACATATGCCCCCCCCCCCCACTGGGGCGAAGGTTAAGGTTGTCAGAGGCTATAAACTAAACAAAAAATGAAGATTTCCCCGCCGTGTAGTAGTGCAATTTGAGGCCCTTTGGGACCCTACAGGCTGGCATTTGGCTGGCATTTGCCCACCGGGACTCCACGCCGACTTCTATAGATAATCCAGCTTTCAGTTCCCGTCCCCACAGACAGACCACCAATCTGCGCCTACGTACGACCACCACGGGATCCTGCTTCATTACGACTAGGAGCTACTCTAGCCGCACACCGGTGACCGTCCAGCCAGAAGCTGGACGCCGCATAGTGAGGACGACGATAGGCAAAAACAAGAGATTGACGCCCCGAGGACAGAAACAACAGATTGATACGTAAAGGAGAAATTTTTGAATTTTTGTCGGTCGAGCGTTGGACTCCGCGTGGTGAGGGCACGCGTCCCGGTTATAACAGTCCGGGTTCGAAGCGCGACAGAGTCGCTTGATGTTTATGAGCCTCCTGGCGAGTATGGTTGCGGTTGGTGGCAGGCCGTAACCAGTCGAAGTCAGTGAGGGGACCGGCCGTGCGCGGCTATGTACATACGTAAAACTTTGGGCTCTAAATTCTGCCATAGATCAGGAATTGCGCGATCGGAGGGTAGAGGGCAGGGCCAACGCAACAAGATCTGCTTACCGGGGGCTCTGTACTTGTGAATCCTTCCATTCAAGAGGTTCGGACTAAATTTATAAAAAAGAATATCCGAGACACGGAGTTGGGCGCCTGAAAAGACGAAATGTAACGTATTGCTGAGCGAAAAAAAAATGGTTAAGGTCAGGAAAACAAAATAAACACTTGATAACAGGCCTAAGTAATCGGCTAGGTATCAATGTGCTCACATTGCATCCATGTTTCGTTTACACATTTGCTTTTATGTGCACTGACGCCTCGACCTAAAAATTTGTTTGCCTTTTGGCTATTGCCGGCCCCCCAGTAGTGACTTTTTGCCCTGACTGGGGGGGGGGGGGGCAGGCCGATGACTGCAGGGGTTTAGCCCCCCAGTTAACATGTTAGACGAGGCCTTGGCTTAATATGACTAAAAGGCGTCGGCGCGCTTCGAAGTCACAGCAAACCATCAAAAATGGCTAGTTCGAGGCAGGAAATGAGTACACGATCTGTCCCACGTTGTAGGCTGATAGTAGATTTGCCTAAGGAATCCGTTCCGATCCGACTATTCGAACTGATTGAATATTTTGCGATGTTTTATCTAATAGCTCGAATGGAATGGGGAGCTCCCTGCCCTCGGTTCGGGTCTTCCCCGGATCTGTAACCGGTGCTGCCCTCTGACGCGTCCGTCTCTCTCCTCCCCTGCCGCAGGTGGCGCCCACACCCGCAGCGACCCAGGCCGTGGTGGAGCGGGTGGGCGTCGTACAGCACACCATGTTCGGCGGTGTGTGGGAGTTTACAGCCAACGGACGACACGCGGATACTGCCTACGGCCGGGACGAGCTGCTGCCGCACACGGACGGCACCTACTACAGCGAGCCGCCCGGGTAGGCACGGTAGGCACACCTCACACGGACGGCACCTACTGCAGCGAGCCGCAAGGGTAGGCACGGTAGGCACACCTCACACGGACGGCACCTACTGCAGCGAGCCGCAAGGGTAGGCACGGTAGGCACACCTCGCACGGACGGCACCTACTACAGCGAGCCGCCTGGGTAGGCATGGTAGGCAGGGTACACAATGTTTCGAGGCATACTTACGCAAATTAGTGGACTTAATTACGTACGAGTATGATGCTCTGAAAACGATCCGTTAAACTGAAGGTCATGTTCTTGAAGTGGCAACGAAAAAGGAGGACATTCGCCGTTCTCTTCCCCTAGTTGGCTTTAAGCGAGCTGCAGCGAAGGAAGAATGCATTAATAAAAAGTACCGTGGACCTTCCTTAACTTATTTAAGTTTTTCAACAGCCTATATCGGTCCTCTATGTAGGCTGCTTCCAATGTTATTAGCTATAGCCCTATCATGACTGCCGTTTCTTGCCTCTCATTCCCACCGTCTGTCCGCACCGGCAGTGTGCAGGTGTTCCACTGCCTGGCGCATGACGGTCACGGCGGCGAGACCACGCTGGTGGACGGGTTCGCGGCGCTGCACGCCCTCCACCAGGCCGACCCGGCCGCCTACGAGCTGCTGTCGCGCGTGCCGTGTGCCGGTGAGTACCGCGACCCTTCCCGGCGGCTGCACATGGTCGGCGACGGGCCCGTGATCGCCCACCGCGCCGGCGCGGAGCCTACGCCCGAGAGCCTGCTGCGGCTGCGCTTCAACCCGTACGACCGAGCGGCGGCGCGGCGCGGCGAGCCCGCGGAGGTGGAGGCCTTCTACGGTGCGTACGGCCGGCTTACGGAGCTGCTCTGGGACGCGCGGCGCCGACTGCGACTCAAACTGAGACCTGGCACCGTCATTCTGATCGACAACTGGCGCGTGCTGCATGGCCGCGCCGCGTTCACCGGGCGGCGGCATATGTGTGGTGCCTACATGGCACGCAGCGATGTCCTCAGTCGCGCCAGGTCTGTGGGGCTACTAATCTAGATGCCACGCCTTGTCTATCGAACAGCAAAACCGCCAGTCTTCCGTACAAGGACTACGTATCTACTGTTAACGCCAGACCCCTTGAGACCCTAATTTTTCGCGATTACTTTTAAATGCGTGAAGGAATTTCAACCAAGCTCAGGACATGGCCGTTTCAAGACAGGCCGAAACTTTTACAATTTAGATATTTTATCGCCATTTCAATATTTCAGGCACTTGTCATTGACTCGTAATGTTAAATTTCGAGCAAGATTTTCATCCGGTGTGTAGAGGCTATCACCAGTCAGTCTGTGATACGTTATGACGTCACAGCTAAGCCCCGCCTCTGTGGTCTTGGCCTGCGGCGGTTTCGGGCCGGCGCGCGGTCACTCTCGCTGTGGCGGGGAGCGGGGACGGGCGACGGGCGAGCGGTGCCGAAAGCCGGCGGAGTTGTGCGTAGCGTCTTGGCTGACAGTGCCCAGAGAGCGACATGATGACTAAGGAGTCATAAATGCTCAATGCGCATTGCTTCTACAATGCGCATTGAGCATCCACCACTCAGTGCGCATCCACCACTCATGTTCGCTGATATATATATTTTTTATAAGCTGCAAATGACGGGCAGATGGCATATAACTGACATAAGGTTAGGAAATATTCATCTGTATTTAAAGCCTATGGCGTTGCAGATAATGCGATAATGGGATGGTGGATGTCACCAAGTATTTGTACATCGCTATGCAACCATCGAACAACGCAATAATAAGTTAATTGCCTGAGCTTCACATCATACGGCTCGCTCGTATTTCAAACAGATACCCTACATCGAAAATCGTATTTGTTAGGAATCGTTAACGTTTGTTCGAAGCACGACTGAGTAGTAGGTTGAGGAGTGATGGTCCTCTTGGTCCTATATACAAGAGTCAACAAGAGCCTAACATTTACTTGACCGTCTGCTGCAATTGACTCATAGCACGTGAAGCGTCAGCGAAATTCATAGTCCTTCACAGATGGCAGGGGTGTCGTTTGTACAGAGGTCGCTGATGGGCACGGGTCAATGCCGCAGTCGTGGGCGGAGCCTAATGTCATATGACGTAGAAAGCCTCTATCCAGGATGGAAAAACAGTTAACATTACGAGTCAATTACAAGTGCCTGAAATATTGAAATGGCGATAAAATATCTAAATTGTAAAAGTTTCGGCCTGTCTTGAAACGGCCATGTCCTGAGCTTGGTTGAAATTCCTCCACGCATTTAAAAATAATCGCGAAAAATTAGGGTCTCAAGGGGTCTGGCGTTAACAGTAGACGCCATTAGTCTCCCGAACAGCAAAACTGCCAGTCTTCCGTACAAGGACTACTTATCTAGACGCCATTAGTCTCCCGAACAGTTAAACGGCCAGTCTTCCGTACAAGGACGACTTATCTAGACTCCATGACTAGTCTCTCGTGAAGCTTCAAAGCGCCAGTATTCGCACAACTGCAAAACGACAATCCCTCTCGCTGTCAAAGAACCAGCTTCCAGCTTCAGACCACGAGGTTTTTATAACTATGTAGTTTACGGATGATTTGTACGTTTTATGTGAGCATATTAATGATTCCATCTCTTAACTTATGGACAAGTCAATATGACTGTTGATGGTGACTTATATGTTTTGTTGTTGTTGTTGCTAATCCAATCTAGATGAAATGAGCACTGATCATATACTATTTATATTAAGGTGCTCTGACGGTGGTTAACTAATGAGGCCTTTTCAGGGACTTTCTGAGTTGGTTACGCTGTATGTTTGTTGTTAATGTGGATGGAATATCACATCACAGTACGTGTTTTATGCCTTGTGTGTGATATGTATGCACAATGTGCCATGTTCAATGTATACTGTACAGGGCTCATCTCACCACGTGAGGGGTATTCTTTTTTTCGACAAAATCGAGTATCAGTTGAAAGCTACGTCATCAGTCACTAGCAAATCATAACGCCTTAGTCTCCATACTAAAGATTGGAATCGTTATTATCCAGGTTTTTCATCCGGCGTGGCGGCAATTGACAAAAGTTTGTATTTCACCCAAAATAGATATTCGCTTTTGGTTGCCAGTTGCCGCACTGGGCAAATAATGTGGTTCATGATAAGCCAATCGGAGGTGTATCTTCTACATAGATCGTTTTGGTTTCCGATCGACTGGTAACGAAGCCTTTGAGCTACTGTCGGTTTTGTCGATAAAATAATACCTACCGCGCAGGGAGACGAGGGCTGTATAATGTACAGATCTCGCGGGTTTTAGCGGTAGGTTTTGCACCTATAAAATTTAGTGTATTTCAGGCTATATCTTCGTCGTCTTAAGCTTTAAGTGTTGAAGATGCGATCGACTTGTTGGTTCACAAGCCGGCCCCATGATCGTGTAAAATGGCTTCATCGTAGATCGATTAGTTTCTGAGATATAACCGGAATTGTAAAAGTGCAAAACCTTCCGCTTAATCTCGCGAGAGCTGTACATACCACCCCACCTGGTTTTCTAATGGAGCGCGCATATCGTTTATCCATGTCCTGTTACTATCATTGTGGGTTGGACCAGCGGGATTATTCTGAATTGAGTGGAAAGTCACCGCCAACTCTTGTTGCAAATGGGTTATCATGCATTGCCACATCTTACGATTGTCACTAATACATTAAAGGAACCAATTCCGTCTATCATTCTGGCCCCTCCCCATCTCCACCCCCCCCCCCCCCCCGCCCATACGCCGTAGGCTCAGCTGCGTTCGCGCACATATAGGTCAAATGGATTTAGCTAGACGCTGACGTTCATACAGCATCCAGGTCCCATTATGGATCGGCGCGTTTGTACGGCTTCAGTCATCACAGCAGAGTCCAATGCGCACATGTGGCGCACACACGAAAAAAAAAACGTCTGTTTCACCGCTGCTAGGGGAACTTTGCGGCCGAAGTTTGTCAAATAGTTTGACAGACTCGCCATCAATGCTACGATTCCTGGCATCAGAGGCATCAGAGGTGTGCTTGAAAGATAGTGAGGCTCGGATCTTGCAAGCTCATGTCCCCAACGGGCAACGACCCTTGAGAGAGCTTTGCATTGCCAGGTGCCGTAATAACTGATCGGCCCCGCTACCCTGTCATCATCTGTTCTAGTTTCCTTCGTGGAGACTAATACAAATACAGGTTGATTGAGGATGCATTTGATCAGGTGGTCTCGTGCTCGTCGGGCGGACGGCTTACGACGGACGCGATGTAAGTAGTTACCGAGCGACCTGAACCGGGCCTGAACGTGACCGACACTGGCTCCGTGGGCCCTCGCAGCACCCGCGTGGGCTGCTCGAATTCAAATGAGGCATGCCAGCAAATTGAACTCATTTTGTAGCTATCGAGAAGATGAAAATTCGGGCCGTGGACCCAGGCCTGGCTCGGTTTAGGTCTAACGGCTTTTTGTCGGTCACCAGTTGAAACCGGGTGTGGCAAGCCGACGGAACAACAAAAGTCATCTAAGGCGGCGCAACAAGACACCACTTGGCTCACCACATGATTAAAGCAGTCGTTCTGTTGAACGATATTCAGACCGACGGTACAGTAGGCTTCGACACATCTCATGGTCTGCAGCAACTAGATATAAAAGGATTCACACTGTAGCCCTCCCTCGGTCCCAGCCCGACCTCTCCAGCCGCGCGCGAACGCTCGTTCAAAAAGGCAGCTTTAGACAACCCACACTAGTCTCCCGATTATTGCGGTCCGGCTCCCTACAACCTCACTTCATACACGAGAGGTTTGCTGGACGGTTAGCCCGCTGAGGACCACCAGCCCGCCGTTCTAGGTCCTCAGAACTGCGTGCCGTGTCGCGCCGACTGCCGCTCCTCGGGTCTGACACGGGCGGCGCCGGCCGGGTCCGGCGACTCGGCCTGACCGGGCACAAACCGTTCCAGCGAGTCGGTGCCGGGCGGCGGCGGGTGCACCGGGTAGCCGTGAGGACAGGTGACGTCCCGCGCCGCGTACAGGCCCTCCGGCCGTGAACAGGTACGCGGCGGCGGCGGCGGCTTCTGGCGGGTCCTCCGGTCGGTGCGCTGCAGCGACATGCTGCGCGCCGCCTCGACCGGCTGTCCGCCGCCGGTGCCCGGCACGCCGGCGATGCTGCGCCGGTAGCCTGCCGTCTCGGGCCGCCGCGTCGACCGCAGCGCCGTCGGCACGTCGTCGCGGTCTTCCACCGGGTCCGTCTCGAAGCGCACCGTGGGGAACTCTGCCGGCTCGACGCGCGGCTCCGGAGCCAGCGCGGCCGGCCGGGGGACAAAGTGGAGACTGGACGAGCTGCGGCCGCCGACGGAGGAGCTGCAGCTCAGTTGCAGGGAGCGCGCGCTGCCCACGGACGCCGAGTCGGGCTCGCGGCCGGCGGCCGAGCGGTCCGCCTCCTCCGGGTCGTCCGGCAGGTCCACCTGGCACGTGGAATCGGTCCTGTACACGACGCGACACCCGCTGCCCGTCGACAGGCCGGACACCGAGCCGCGCAGCGCCGGCACCGTCTCGCTGTAGATGCCGCTCGAGTCGCTGGCCGGACCGGCGGCGGGACGCGTCTTGAGAATGCCGCGCGGAGGTCGGTCGGACGGTGTGGTCGGGCCAGACGCCTCAGTCGGTGTCCTCGGCATCACGCGCTGCAGCAGCCCCTGGGCCAACGACTTCTCCGGCAAGGTGATGCCCTTTTTCTTGGTTTGAACTTTGTTGGCGGATTTGCTATTCTGCTTCGCAGATGAGGGTCGCAGTTGATGCGATGAACCGTGGAGACTTCCGGACCCTGAGCGCGGCAGGCTGGCTGAAGCGACACTGTTCCTCGAGCGCACACTGCCGCTCCTGGAGCCGGCTGACGCGGCGGGCCGCTCCCTGCCGAGCGTGCTGCTTCTGCTGCTGTTGCGGCTGACGGCGGCCTTGGAGGGCTGCTCCCTATCGCGCACTGTCCCGCGGTCCAGGGAGCGCTCCTTGGCCAGCGGCGCGGGGGCCCGATCGGCGCGCTCACCGTTCCTCCAGCCGGCCTCGGGCGGCTCCCTGGCACCACCCTCCGCCGCCCGGCGCGTGGACACACTCCCCTCGCTGGCCCGACGCGCGCTGGGAACACCCCCGTTACCCTCTACGGGCATCTCGAGCAGGTCGTCCCCACTGGCCGAGCGCGCCAGCAGTCTCGGTCGGAGCACACTCTCCCGGCTGCCGCGCACACTGACCGACCGTGAGCCGGCCTCCGAGAGACTGCTCTGACGCTGCAGGCGCCGTTCGCGCACTTTGAGACGCTGCTTCTGATAATACACACCACCCAAGATCAACAAGTTCAACAGTACAAAACACACCCCTACGACGATCACTATGCTGAGCATGCCGGTGGCGGCGGTCGGCGCCGTCTCCTGCACGTCGCCGCCGGAGCCGCCGTGTCGGCTGTCGCCCGGAGCGGCCGCCGGCGGAGGTGACAGCGTGTGCGGGTACTGGCGCGGCGGCGGTGTGCTCGGTGCCAGCGGCGGCGGTGGCAGCAGAGGCCCGCCCGGCGCCGGCGGAGGCACCATCGGCATCAGGTTGTCATAGTCCTCCGGCATCGGGCCCTCGAACGCGCCCGGTGAGGAGGCTAGGTGGCCCAGCACGACCCGGTTCCAAAAGTCCAGTTCGACGTGCCGGTACTGGGAGCTCTCTCGCGGCCGTGTCCCTGGAAACCGTATATAGTTCAGTAAAATTTCGAGCAATATGTGCACCGTCAACTCGGATAATGTGGTTAACTGTGCTGGGTTCATAGTGTTTCACAAATATCCGGGCTCATCAGCTTCTCACTCGTACTGAATGGACATTGGACAGCCCACAGTATATATATGGACAGCCTGTCTTAATAAAATACTAATAGCCTCGTTAAATGAGGGCCGTTTTTCTGCGTATACGGCTAGCCCCGGAAGTTGAGCCGCTCCTGTACTTACCCAGCTCCAGATAGCGCTGGTTGAGTTTGTCGTATTGCCGCCAGATCAGATCGTAGAACGGCGAGTCGCCGCTCGGCTCCGAAATGAAGCCCTCCTGCTTCCTGGCTCCATTGGGGTCCCTGGCAACAGTCGGCTACAAGTCAGACATCTAAATGCACACAGCCAGTCAACAGCATGGAAACAAGACACATGTACCTAACTCTTCTCCCTACGCCGCTGGCCTAGTGAAATACCATCCGCCGGCAATAACAGCGTGCTTATTGGCGAGAAAAGTCATAGCGACATCGACCTCACACGTCACTGACCTCCCAACGGGCTAATGAAAAATGAGAAGCTTGTTCCGAGCTCAGGGCTCCGGGTCTCCTAGCCCAATTTAAGACTTATCACTACACGCGCTAACTTTCCTTCAAAGCTTCATTAACGTGTCAACTGATACGATCACCTGCGTGCCTCGACGAAGCCCCGTTACGGGAGCAGGCCGTGCCGTACCCCGTTTTGACGAAGCTGCTCCAGGCGGTCATCATGTACTCGGAGAGCGCCTTCTCGGCCCGGGTGAAGAACAAGTTGGACTGCGGCGCCAGCGGGACACCGAACACGTAGGGTAGTTCATCGCCGGGCACGCTGCCAAACTGTGGGCAGGAGTGGAGGGGAGGGGGCCGTCTCAGCGCTCTGTCCCGCACAGCACTGTCAACTGGGTCATACTCATGACTCAGGTACTGTGTTGCCTCAACCGCTCAACAGAAGGAATACAATTTGAACATGACAAAACTGCCTAATGTCCATGTAATTCGACACAAAATAATGACATTTTGCTGCCGCATTTTATCACCACCGTCGCATATATCATAGGTCAAAAGCCTAAAATCTAAAAGCAAAAGCCTGAAAGTAAAATAAGAGACAAACATGTTTGATCCGAGACGTACTTTACCTGAAGTTGACCTCTACTGTTAACGCCAGACCCCTTGAGACCCTAATTTTTCGCGATTACTTTTAAATCGCTCTGCTGTGCGGTGAACTGGATGCGACGGGGGCACTGGTGGATGAATAATGGCCTTGACTCCGCGCTGAGTTGCTAAAAGGGGGAGGAGTGTTGCTGCCGTTGCGGCATTGGGTAATGCATTGTCCGATATTGTCATTGCTTCGACACTCGGCACCAGTATTACTGCTGGCGCCACCTATCACGTTATGGACAGTGCCACTTACCTACCGTATGTTACAATGATTGACGACTGGTTATTTTCACCTCGTATGGCTTAGGATCTGCGTGTATGATAAAACGGTGGGTCTTTAAACAATGACACTACCGATTCCTTCCATATCATTAACGAATAACATGGACTCGCTACTAACACGACTAACTGTTCTATATCCTTTTACCCTAACCTATCGGTAGTGTCACATTGTTCGTTATCAATACGGGCGAATTATGTTTATTTTGACCTATTTGCGAGTTAGCTCATTTATTGTTATCTGCACTAAATGCATCGAAAGGAATGGATTGATAATAATAAACTACCGGTTGAACCCGGACAAGGGAAATGCGTGAAGGAATTTCAACCAAGCTCAGGACATGGCCGTTTCAAGACAGGCCGAAACTTTTACAATTTAGATATTTTATCGCCATTTCAATATTTCAGGCACTTGCCATTGACTCGTAATGTTAACTGTTTTTCCATCCTGGATAGAGGCTTTCTACGTCATATGACATTAGGCTCCGCCCACGACTGCGGCATTGACCCGTGCCCATCAGCGACCTCTGTACAAACGACACCCCTGCCATCTGTGAAGGACTATGAATTTCGCTGACGCTTCACGTGCTATGAGTCAATTGCAGCAGACGGTCAAGTAAATGTTAGGCTCTTGTTGACTCTTGTATATAGGACCAAGAGGACCATCACTCCTCAACCTACTACTCAGTCGTGCTTCGAACAAACGTTAACGATTCCTAACAAATACGATTTTCGATGTAGGGTATCTGTTTGAAATACGAGCGAGCCGTATGATGTGAAGCTCAGGCAGTTAACTTATTATTGCGTTGTTCGATGGTTGCATAGCGATGTACAAATCGGCAGCTACTTGGTGACATCCGACATCCCATTATCGCATTATCTGCAACGCCATAGGCTTTAAATACAGGTGAATATTTCCTAACCTTATGTCAGTTATATGCCATCTGCCCGTCATATGCAGATTATCTATATATAAAAAAATATCAGCGAACATATCAGCATTGTAGAAGCAATGCGCATTGAGCATTTATGACTCCTTAGTCATCATGTCGCTCTCTGGGCACTGTCAGCCAAGACGCTACGCACAACTCCGCCGGCTTTCGGCACCGCTCGACCGTCGCCCGTCCCCGCTCCCCGCCACAGCGAGAGTGACCGCGCGCCGGCCCGAAACCGCCGCAGGCCAAGACCACAGAGGCGGGGCTTAGCTGTGACGTCATAACGTATCACAGACTGACTGGTGATAGCCTCTACACACCGGATGAAAATCTTGCTCGAAATTTAACATTACGAGTCAATGTCAAGTGCCTGAAATATTGAAATGGCGATAAAATATCTAAATTGTAAAAGTTTCGGCCTGTCTTAAAACGGCTATGTCCTGAGCTTGGTTGAAATTCTTTCACGCATTTAAAAGTAATCGCGAAAAATTAGGGTCTCAAGGGGTCTGGCGTTAACAGTAGTCATCCCTCACCTGACGGTCGCCTCCGGCGTCTGTCACGTGGCTGAAGACATACATGTAGGACCGGCTGGTGGACTGGGCGTGCAGGTCGGCCAGCCGAACCAGCGGCGCCACCACCATGGCATCGCTGAGCAGCTGCAGCGTCTGTCCGATACCAGAGCCCGTTAGCAAGACATTCGCGAAATTCGCTCCTCTCGTGATGTCTGTAGCAGTTCAGAGTGGCTGAGCTGTGCCTATGACATGAAATGTATCGATTCAATTGAGCAGACAGTACCATTCCATGTACTGAACTCTGACACACAATCCACACTGATTCCATGCTCGAGTTACATTCCCCGCACTCATTTCATACGCGAGTTACAGTCCCCCGGCGCTCATCCCATACGCGAGTGACGCGAGTCCCGAGTGCAACCGCTGTTTACCTTGTCGCGGTAGCGGATGACGTTCATCTGGGCGTCCATGTAGCGATTGGTAGCCATATCCAGTAGCTGCCGCGTGTAGCGCCGGTAGCCAGCTCTGCAGCGCACAGACGCGTTGGGATCGTCAGAGGACACGGTTTTTAATTAGTTTCATGGCACATGGCCGCGTCGTATAAAGGCATTGCGCGCTGCTTGGCGAAAATACACGCATCATTGTATTGTAGTCTGCCTCAAAATTAATGCATTTAATGTGATGAAATGAAGCGGAAATCTAATCGAACCGTTGCGCTGCGACGCATCTCACTGAAATAAATAAACAAAATGAAATAATGAAATGCATGGTTCATGGATGAGTTCGTGTGATCAGGCAGTGGCGGCTCCCGTTTCGACCCGGGCGCGGCGCTCACCTGAACAAGGAGCTGATGAGCCGGTCGCGCTCCTCTCGACTGAGACCAGTGCGCAGCTGGCGCTCACTCAACAGTCCCAGGTCTCCCTGAGTGGTCACCCCGAACAGCAGCTCGAAGCGGCTGAGACTGTGGGCCAGGTCAGCGGCATCCCGCGGCCAGCGCGGCACCACGATGTGGTCCTCGGACGGGCTCAGGCTGGGCGCGTAACGCGGCCACTGGCAGGTATAGCGATTTTTGTTAGTATCTCTCATATATTATCCATCGCCAGCCAAGTGCTAGCGAGCCTGCATCCATCATCCCCGTCAATCATCGCGACATGTGACGTTTACAAACCTTCAATGATAATCACACAGCTGTTTGCTAGCTCATTTATAGGTCATTTGAAACGTGGTGTCACTTGATCAATGAGGGTCAGATTTCGACCCATTTGACAATTTTTTTAGTTAGAACGGCGCGGAATGGCAATTTAAAGCTCTCTTCAATAAAAAGGAACACCACATTTGAAATCACGCCACATTTGTCACCACATTTATACCAAGATCAGCAGTGGATTTAGGTTAAGCTCATATTCAATTTAATTTCCATTTCCATGTTCGCTCAATTACTTGCCGGAAAGTCGACATTGACCAGCTGCCGGACGGGTTTGGAGCGGAGACACTCGAGCAGCTGGTGGTCGCTCTGCATGGAGCAGTTGAGCGCCCTGGCCACCGAGACCGTGACGTTGATGGGGTCGGCTGTCATCGCCCACGGGCTGAGTGACGAGCCGGACATCAGGATCACCCGCTGGAATAACACTGCAGGGCAGGGGGAAACCGGAATTAGAGACGACCCGTACACCTAAACAGTACGGCAGCACCGGAGATACACGAGATAATGGGCGACCCGGACGTCAGGACTCAGGAATAATCACTCTGGAACAGCACTGCAGCGCAGTCCATGACTCCATGCAGTCTCATGTCGCACATGAAGCAAACGAATTATAGCAGCGCAACGTAGCAACAGAGAGAGCATATTGAGCCGTATCGAGCCATGAGGGCTTCTGTGCATCAAAACTTTAACGTTGCGCACTGAGCAACAAAACATACATTTGACTGTCTTCCATTTCTCACAGGAATTCAGCTGCCTGGAATGTTAGGCTGTGCCGCATCACACTGCTGGGTGACACATTCTGTTCCTGTTAGCCTACGTTCACCATAGACACGCTTACTGGGACAGGGTCGGCACAGATTAGAATGCCTGTGAGCCGTGAGGAGTGACTTCATTATAGTCAACTGTATGCATGCGATGCTGTGATTTTAGAGTCTTAGGAAGAGACTTCAACGATAGTGTTAAAACCAGCACCAACTTATGCCTTTTCGATATCGAGGACAACAATCAGTGGCTGCCACCCCTTACCGTCTGGGTTGGAGTTGAGCGGTGACACGGCCAGCAGGCTGGAGCAGACGGCGCCCGTGCCGTGACCCATGACCGTCACGTTCGTCGGGTCGCCGCCGAACTGTTCGATGTTGTCCTGCAGCCACGACAGCGCCGCACGCTGGTCGTACAGAGCGAAATTGGCGAATGTCGAACCGCTGGTGACGGTGGGCTTCAGAAAACCTGCGTTGGAAAAAAGGAAGCTCATAAGTAGTAAGTAGGCTGTAAGTAGGCTGTCGGGGACATCGGAGCTGCCGGGAACACACCGTGGCATACTTCAACTTTATCAATGAAGCTGTGCTTTCGCTAGCCCTTCAAGAATAAGATTTTACCCTTTTACCGGTTTTACCCATTTTCGGCATCAGCGCCGCGCGCTTACCGAGCACCCCGAGCCGGTAGTTGACGGTGACGACGATGACGCCGCCGAAGCTGGCCAGCACGGTGCCGTCGAGGCGGCGCGCCTGGTCGCCGGCCGACTCGCCGTGGATGTAGACCAGCACGGGCAGCTTGTGACGCTGGTGGTACCGGTGCCGCTGGGCGTCTGTGAAAGACACCAGTGCTACAGTCAGCACCTGACAGTATACCGTCAGAGACTGGAGACTTCGCAATAGACGGTGAGTGTCTGCTGGTGACAGTTTGTCTGTCTATCTGTCTGAATGTCTGTCGGTTTGTTTGTTTGTCTGTTTGTTTGTTTGTTTGTTTGTTTGTTTGTTTGTTTGTTCCTTTGTTTTTGGATTATGCCCTGTTGTTTTAGTTATGACATCATTTCAGGGCCGTAGGATATTAGAAGTTTGGGGGATGGGGCATTGATCTGGGAGCCGGGCGGCTATACATATGGTGCGCCGCAGAGACCGAGGCCGTCCCAAGGGACAGGCCATGCCCAGTCTCGCCAACGGTCATCCCACCGCACGTGAGTCGGCTCCTGTAGGAGCCGCTCACGCGTGCAGTGATGTTCTATGTTCAGTCCAGAACCGAATGTTTGGGATGTTGTTGGGAAGGATTTTATGCCTCCTGAGGATAGATACGAGGGCCAGGATAGCAGCGCAACAGTCAAAACATACATTTTTTTGTCATTCTTTATTATTGCATTTTGTATTTTATATTGATATACCGATCAGTGTTGGTGCATTCGGCTCAGTTTTCCTGATTCCAGGCAATGCTGATGCCAATATGCGATAAGCGTTAGTGTGGAATACGAGCAGATTTATTGGTATTTACGCCTAATTAGTGGCAGCAGGCTGGCGCTACCCTATCCCATTAACAACACTTGATATGATTGTAGTAAGTGGAGCTGAGCGGCAACTAACCGTCTCAGGAGGCCAAAATGGTATTAACAACGGGATCAGGCTATCCTCTACAGAACCTTGAGGTTCATAGAGTACGAGTGACCCTTGACCCTTTACTTTTCGGTCTGACAGCGAGCGGCTCATTGTCTGCGGACCTACTCTTGAGCACGCCCATTTCTAAATTTTCCCGACAGATACCAGGAACTTCGCGATTGAACAGTGGAGACTGGATAATGCGCATCAAGCTCTATGGAGTTAAGCTATAGGCTTCGTCATCACTGCAGTTGATATAGGGTGTTCCACTATCTATCCGCTTGCAGAGGAGTATAGGGAGGGTGGATGTGAACGCACTTCTCTGACTTCCGAACGAACGAAAGGGACAGGGTCATTGGCAAGCAAACTCCTTCAATCAAGATGATAAGTCAGGTGGCAGGTCAGGTTATACAATAATTAGCTTCAATATTCGTAGAATCCAAGCTCAGACAGCGAATAGTTTTTCGACGAAATTCTGCCAAAGCGTGCCTGTAGCTATTAGTTGAAGTGCCTTGTTTGATGTCAGTTGGACAAAGGTCAATATCGGGTCAGGCTAGGTCACAATAGGTTATCACAAATCCTGCTGATTGGAATATGGTGACACGAGTTATTGGTCAATGGTCGTCTGTTTACTAATATGACGCATTGATAACAATTATAAGTATGATTGGACAAAAGCAAGGACAAGTACAGGTCTAGGTCGGGTCAAAGCCAGGCCAAATCGGGTCAACTTCCAAATTTGAATGTTAGGGATCAAATTTTTTCATACGCTCTGAATACGTTTTGCGTGACAAATTTCACGGTGCTATATTATTTTTCCTGTATACTGGGCATGTGCGAAGCATCGAGACAACTTGCTGGCCAATGTTGAAATGCTAAATATGTTGAGCACCGCTTGTGTTGATGAATCATAGGCCTGCGAGCACTAATAGCATTTGACTAATTCACCCTACAATGACTGGATGAGAAGTCCCATGTGGCATTGCTGACTGATCGCGGTGACTGGCATTTGTTCACCCTCCCCGCCGGAAGTGACATCCGCTCTCCGGGAAGGAACAGCACAAAACCGCAATCCACGTGGCAACTCTTAGCTCAACGTCGACTCCATTGGCGGCTCACAAACCCAGTTGGAGCGCGGCCAGTTGGCAGATGTCAAACGGACGAGCTCGCGGCTCAGCGCGCCCTGCCTGGCGCGAGCTGTCCGCCGCTGCCGGCTGCCTGTGCGCCGACTGAATGACGGGACGGATGGGACGGGAGCCGAGCGTAGCCCCGAGCCCGCCGACCGGAGGTCCTATTTAGCGGTCCGCTCTGCCCTAATTAACACTCGTTTTTGTGTGAGGGATGCCATGCTCTGAGCCAAGTCCCAGAACTATTTTCCTGAACAGTCGCAAAAGTCGGGACGATAAGTAAATATCAACAAAGCCAGCAGTTGTGCAACTCAGGGCGTGGTGTTTTGCATGACTCCTGATGTTTTGTTACGCCATCGAGCATCGAATTTTCCTGTAGCGTTATGTAACTTTGACCGACGACTTGTTGATGGAAATGGCTGCTGGCACAAAGAAAAAACATGCTCAATACGGAAAGCTGCTCAACGTGCTACCTAATGAACGATAATATAGGTAACGTCTCGTGTCATCAATTACACATCTCAAACACTTTCATATTATCTGCAGAAGCTGATAGCGTGGCAGTGAAATGAGAGAATTCGGTGATGAATCAAACGTAACAAACAGGGAAAGTTAAGCATGAAACAAGATTAAAAGTGGAAACAGAAAAAGCGTGTTTAATGAAGCAAGCGTCGATCAGCGGAGCCGGGTACCTATTACTTCCTATACAATAAATCTACATAGGGTAGGGTGGGGTAATTTGAACATATAGGGCAATTTGAACATAGTGTGAATAACACAAAATTACGGAAAATCCATAAGTGGGATGACAATAAGACCAATGAGAGAAATTATCGTAACTAAAAGGGCTATCATATGAACGAGGTTTAAAGTTTCAGGGAATGAAGATGTTGACGCACAGTGTAAAAAAATCAATTTCGCAAGGATAAACGCCTAACAACACGTCATTGCAACTTCATTGCAGCGCAAAATTTTGCATTGCTAGCGCCTAATACGCAACGGATTTTGTTGTACAATGACCTAGTCAGTGCCTTCAATCCAAGAAATTTGCTTTTGAACCCTGTTTTTAAAAATGGCAAAATAACTTTTAGCGTGGGGTAATTTGAACATAGTGTGAGAATTTCAATGAAGACAGGGATAGCTCCGAAAAAAAACAACGCTCCCAGTTTTTTTTTTGGCCAATATTTTCGACCCAAAGCAGTAGCAGATAAGTGGTGCCAGTTAAAAAAGAAATACGTCTAATATCCGTCTAATATCCGGCATTTTCGTTGATTTTCCGTCCAAAAAATGTTAAAGTCAACTATTTGTCCAAATATGTCCGAAAATTATGCAGCTATCAACACTCAAAACCGTCATTTATATTGCTTATCATGTAATTTTAACAGCCGAAAAGTGTTCATTATATTGAGAGCTTAACAAGCTTTCCATTCGCCAATCAATGCTACGCACGATTACTTAATAAAAATGCTTAAGTGTGGCAGGCCATCGTCCAACGTTGTCCAGACTACTATACCTTTGTGCAATCAATTCCGAATTGGACATTGTAAAGAATCGGAACTCCGAATGTCCAGGTTCCGATTGGCACCACTATAACACAGGGGTGTCGTTTTCCGAAAATGATTGGTAGTGCACCCAAAGGCGGCGGCTGGCCATATATGACGGGGCTTACAAGGTAGGGTACCCCCAAATCTGCCTTTCTCATCGGATTTCGGCCACTTATTTTTCGCCCTGGTCATTGACAAGACTAACCGAAATCTAAAAAAAAACACAAAAAAAAAACTTTGGAAATCTGGGTCCACACCGGACGCCATGCACAAAACGTGCAGTTATATAGGCAATAGTGTCGGAGGAATGCACGCCATTCTGAAAGAGGCCCACATCGACTTAAAAGGACGGCTGTGCTGAAAGGGGACAGGAACAGCTTTGAGGGCCCAAGCCGACTAAAAAAGACGGCTGCGGGGCCAGGAACGGTTTTGAAGACCCACGCCAATTGAAGGGTTCGACAACTAACGAGGACTGGAAACACAACGATAGTTAGAAAGACCTGCTTGCCAAAATAAAAGGATGACAGTACGAGGGGCGTTCAGAAAGCTACGGGCCCGACCATGAAGGAGCAGAGAGATACAGCATCGACTCATAAGACCAAAAAGTTCATTTATTCAAATAAACACCGTTAAGACAAACACATTTCGCGCAGCGCTTCGCGAGAGCCCTCAAGGCCTCCATAACCAAGTGGGTTTTGGACCCATCCTGCACGTCCAAGACGGCTGATTTCGTCTCCCTGCTGTAAGCGAGGTTGCCGCTGCTAATTTTCTTATGTTGGGGAAGAGGTGGCAACCACTAACCAGAGTGTGCAAGGTTCGGAGAGAAAAAAGTGGATGCGACAACAACTCGAAGCTCATCGCTTCACTGTTCGTCATCCCGCCCATGTACGCAGGTGCGTGGTCGCGGATCAGGTGCACACTTTACGTCAGCTTCCCTATAGCCTCTCCTCGATGTTTATCGAATGGACGCACATCATCAATTGTGTGCCCCTGTTTTGGAAAGTTGACGAGCGGAGGGGGGTCGCATCGACCCCTCCCCCGGCCAGGCCGTGTTATGAAAAATGCCCAGGGCGAGGGTTAACGCTTGGTGCCTTTTCTGCACTAACTACTATGAAACGAATCACTGCTCTCTTCTGGGCGTCGCCCATCCTATCCGAAATGGCGAACTATGCTACGAATAGAAGCCCGAATCAATCACAGAAGAGACTTAATTAATGGCCACTTACTTAATTTGCGTAAGTGGACATCCCAATAACACATCATTTAACACACCGCCTTGCAGGCCAAAATTCCAACTCCTTCATTGTTCGGCCCGAAACTTTTTGAACGCCCCTCGTAGTTACGAGCTTCAGTTTTCGGGGTCTGATGCGGTAATGACCTGGCGTTGAACCCTGGGGAATCAGGCTGCATCACCCACTCAAATCAATATACCTATGGCGATGGCCTATTCTGGAGCACCGCGGCACCTTCCGACGAAGTCGGTGTAGGGCCTCCAGCGGCTGGTGTGGAGACGGATCGGGGTCTATTAGGGGCGGTCGCGTGGTATGCGGG